ATGAATCCTGAATGGAGAGTGGTATCTCCCTCCAGCCCAGAATTAGGCATGTAGCTACCGGAGAAGGGCGGAGCTTATGCCTCATCCCTTTTCTCAGCATTTCCTACTGGCCACTTAAGATGGCTCCCAGCTCATTTTGCTGACTTCTTGGAATCCCATTTTCAAGCGCCTAGCTCTCCCTGTGCATTGTATAAAGAGCCTCATCATCTAACTCGGGGCTGCAAATTGCACTAAGCAGTAGCACATCCAAAAGTTAGGTGTTGCAATGCAGAACAATGCAACATCTATGTTCCCCTTGTGATCTAGCCCTCTATGTAGACATGTTCCTAGAACTATATTTGCCATGAACTAGCTTCTAGTTTGGGGCAGTGCTGTGTTTGGAGTCTTGTATAGCTATTGGTCTAGACACAAATGAGACAAACAGTGGTTTCTAAGCCTTTGAGGCCCTTCACAATTTAGCTCTGTCCTACTTAGCTGATCTACTATTTTACTGCAACACTAATCCCCACTTTCACTCTTCTGCTGTCGGCACCATTCACCAACCACCAGTCCTCAGCTCCCTGAAATGCCTCTGCAATGTTTCCAAACATCCCCTTATTGGTCTGGGAAAACTCCCTGGAAAATTCCGGCAAAGCCACTACCTTATCCACCTTAAGACTCACCTCTATCATGATGCCAATGAAGCACTGCCAGATGAAAATGATGAGGTAGTAAATGAGCCGAGACTGCCTGCTTATTGTTTGAGAACTCGCTTGCTTTAATGTTTCCTCATCTTCAACTCTTTGTCTCTTCCACCTGCTGTGTCTCATGATAACTTATACTGTTACTTGAGGGGGGGGGAGGACACGAAGGCCCAGATTTTGCAAGTATTTAGGTATTGCGCTGCTCAGCCTTGCATGGCCAAAGTGACGTAGATGGCGAAGGCCCATTTTCGAAAGTGGCTTAGGCACGTAGGAGCCAAAGTCCCATTGAAAATTTAAAAATATGGGCCATAATACCGGGACACTACCCAAAGCTGATTGAAATCTGATGCCAGGACACTTAGTACCTAGAACTGATTAACACCACACCTAATCAGAGCAATGAATTCAATTTTACTGCATACGATAAGGGATGCAGGAGATGACATGTTATTTTTGTGATATTATTTATATTACCCCTTATATACAGTGAAAACCTCTATTAGTGAGCTTGGCTTTGCCCCACCAGTTATAAACAGACTTTCATTAGGTGGGCCCTCTCCTGCCCTAGTGAGAGACCACCCATCCCCCTTCACCTATTAAGTGCAGTTGCAGCGGACACTGGCAACTCTCTGTGGGAGGCTAGGTGGCCACATCTTCACTCCACTGGAAAGTAGCAGTAGCAAGACTGTCTCCTTTTCACACTCGGCTGGGTGCAATTGCAGGTAGACAAGGATTCCAGGTTTCTTCTGCCATGGTATAGTGGCAACTTCTCTTAATCTCTTCCTTTGCTCCGCTGAAGAAGGGGAGGTGATAGTCTCTTTGGAAGAATCATTTAGCACCTTTCTGGTAGGCGATAATTGCTGCAATCCAAGGATATTAACTGGAGTTGATTGGAACTAGCAAATGAATTTTCAAGCAGACTGAACCGTCACTATAAGCCAATGTAAGGATATTGAAATACACATTCAGGAAATTCACTCCACTTCCTTATAGGCAGAATTTCACTGCAACTGAGTTCATTATGAGCAAGTTCCACTATAAACCTTTCAACTACACTAAGCAAATACCTAGCTGAACACTACAAGAAACATGTAAGCAACATTCAGAGGAACAATGTATAGTAGTTCACTCTTATCAAAAAGGTGGGAAAAATAACGTGTCATTCCCTTCAGATAAGCAGAATTCTGAGTTCAAATTTCAAGGTAATTTATTTTTATTTCACAGGAAATAACTCAGATTCCTGCGCTAAGATCCTTATATCAACAATTAACAAGCAAGAACACTGCTTATGTATTTGTTTTATTCTACGTTGTAAGTTTTGCTAAAATATTTATTAAAATGTGTGAAAAACACAGTGTATCTTTACTGGAAAGTTAGCTTGTGTGATCTACACTTGAATTATTTCTCTGTTTGCTTAGCTTGAGTGAGAGCAGTCACATGGCAGAATAATACTTGAGTTGTTTTAATGCCCTGTATCCGCACTGCCACTCTACTCACTTGCGCTGTCTGCTGTGGGCGCATCCCCTCGTTCTTAGCATTGCAGTAAACTGAGCCATGCTAGGAATGTTTTGCAGTGTAACTTGGGAGCACTTGTCTGTCCTGTCTGTGCACACGGGCGAAACTGGTGTTAGCCTGACACCGCAACTGAATCAGTTCTAGTTTGGCATCAGTTCCACAAGTTTTTCCCAACTGATAGCAGGGTGAGGATCTAACTTGGAGGAACCTATACCAAACGTGGGCTCCACTGCAACTCTCATTCTGGCAACAGGAGGAAGATACAGGGTGTGAGATGCAGTGGCAGGCATTTCAGCAATGGCTTGACATCATGGGAAAGAGGTGGTATGCTTTGTTAAAAAGAGCACATAAGCTGCATGCAGAACTGGAGGAGTTTTTATTGGGTGAAGTTTTTAGTGGGTGATGAAGCCCCCCTTATAATGACTGGCAGTTCTGGAGCAGGACCACAAACTCAGAATAGTGGAACTGCATGGTCATGCAGACCTGGGATGACTAGCAGTGGACGCAGAACTTCTGTACAAGCAAGACCACATTCCTGGAGAAGTGTCAGGTTCTTCAGCAGCAGGACACACAGGTGAGAGGGTGCCATAACAGTTCCAAAACAGGTGGCTATTGCTATCTGGAATCTGGCCACCCCAGATTGTTACAGATCAGTTTGGTTTTGGCAAGTTAATTGTTGGTTCTGACGGAGGAGGTTTGCTGTACAATTATTACTTTGTTTCTTCTATGGGGAGTGAAGGTGATGTCCAGGCTAGATGAATAGGAAGAGAGAAAGAAAATATGACTATGGGGAATTGTGGGAAGGCATTGGAAGACTGGCAGCACTCCAGACACTAGCCTGCATTCACGTTACTGAGTGGTCATGTTAGCAGGCCAATTGTGCCAACCAACTTGAGTTAATAGCGCCACCGCACTTGAGTGTGGGATTTTTGTGTGTGGATGGGGGTTGAGTTAACAGGAAGATTCATGTTATAACATGAGTTAACTTTGCAGTAAAAACTGTCCTCAATAGCTCTTTATGTGAATGCTTTGCTCTGTTAAGACAGGCTTTTGCCAACTTTAGCTGTATGGTCCCTTTGGTATCACAGAAAATGAAAAGGTGACCAACCTCAAAACACCTTCTCACAGTTGATAGAAAAATCTGCTGCACCCACTTGTTTGGGGGCTGGTTCCATTGAGTAGATGCACTGATACAGCGGAAGAGGGCTGAAAAGTACATTTTTCACCAGAATGTATGGCAACTTTGTGACAAAATAAACAAATAAGCATATTATTTATCAAGAGTCCCTAGCAAAATGTTTGAGGTGGTGCCCACACAGGTAAAATACAATGCTAATAAATAATCATAATTAAACCACTGAACAATACATGAATAGAGTCACAGGGTGAGATTGTGTGCTGTGCCTCCAGGAAGGAGTGAGGCAAAGGTGACCTTTGTGCCTTTGGGGTCCTGGGCTGGTCAGATGGCAAAACAACCCAGAGTAATTTAGGAAGCCACAAGAGCTACTGTAATTTGTCACCCTACTTGGGCAGCCCATGGAGGTGTGCAGAATGGTCACAGTGGCATGTGCTATGGCCCCTTCTCTATCCAATATGCCCCTTTCTCCCCACCGGCATGGCCCGTGCCAGGACTTGTGAGGCTTTTATGACCCCTATATACCATGGCAGCGGCGTACAGGAGCTGTAGTGGAAGAAAGAATCACTCTCGAAGACTTAAGGCCAGAAGGGATCCATATGATCATCTAGTGTGACAGGCCATAGAATTACACCCACTAATTCCTGCATTGAGCCCAGCGGTGGCTGAACTAAAGCCTATCTTTTAGAATGACATTGTTTTGATTAAAGACACTAAGCGGGAAAGAGTTGACTACATTTCTTGGTATGGTATGGTTAATTCTCCTCCCCACTGAAAGACAAAGTGGCATTATTAAACAAATGGAGTTCTGATTATGGAGTTTGTTTTGCCATGTTAAATATTAGCTGGTATGCTTGTAGGGACAGGGACAATGAGCGACATTTTCAACAGTTTTGGGGGCTTAAATATGCAGATAGGTGCCCACTGGCATTTTCTAAAGCACCTGGATGATTTCAGTGGGTGTTAGGGGCCTAGGAGCTTTTGAAAATCCCACTAGGTGCCTATCTGCATTTTGAGGCACCTAAATACCTTTAAAATAGGCTCCAAGTCAATAGCTGGTGCTGGGAGAAAGAAGACAGAGTAAAGAAAAAATAATCAACATGGAGCCGAATTTGGGGAAGAGGAGAAGAACCAAACTTACACCGCTCTTAGACTGTTTTGTTGAATTTGTGTAATTTTTATTGATCATTGATGTTCCTGGTGTGGAAACTAGAAAGTGAGCTATAAGAAATGCCACAGTTATTTAACATTCAGTTGGAAAGAATGAAAGAAAGAATTCATAATCAGTAAAGACACATTTTTTCTTCAAGCTTTTAACAGAGAATTAGGAACAATGAAGGTTTTTTGTTTTTTTTTAAAGAAACCTTCAGTGCTAGAAAGCATTGCCCCAAAGCTGGCGAGGTTGGTGGTTTCTATTCAAACCCAAACCCTAATGTTTAACTCATTGAGAAGCACAGTATGCAACAATGGTTTTCAAAGCTTACGCTGGCAAAGAAATGACACAGGAAGAATTTTTCCCTCCTCTTAAAGCAGCCTTATAATTATAAATTAATCCCTAAAGATATTATGGTGACTTCGATGAGTTAATGAGTATCGTATAACTGCCTGCTTCTCTTAATTGTCCAAAGGCCAGTTGATCCTGGAGTGCATAAAACCTTGACGAATGCAGATACGAAGCATAGCGGAGAGAGAAAGTGTGAGCGTGAGACAGAAAGAACTAGATGCTGTGTTTAACCATGAAGATGCCAAAAAAGTTTCTCTCTCTCTTTCGTATCTTTGTGCTCTTAACTGGCTTCTCAATTATTTGCATGGGAGCCTTTTGCATTTCCACAGGCTCCTCTCTGTGCAGATGTGGGAATAATCTGCCCGTTGCTTATTCTCTGTTACCTTTGGGGTTCTTACTCCTTGTGACTGGGATTTTCTGGAGCACGTACCATGAAGTCAGAAAAAACAAAAACCTGTTCTATATTTTGCAGAGAAATCCCAGCCATAGAGAAACGCACATCAACACCATAGACAGGTATGTACTGCAATGTATGTATGGGCAAACTGCGTGTTGCATTTTGTAAATGTATCCTCAAGGGAAATAAATGACATAGCATTATATCAAAGAAAAGTAACCTGCAGCTAGTAGAAGACTTTTTATTCTATTTGTATGGGCACAGAACAGAAGCCTGAACGTTTCATATGCAGTGGATTGCAGTTAGGACAGTAACAGCAGCAGTTTAGGTGATACAATCAATGTACAGGATATATTCCCGAAAAACTATTCTTAGTGATTACACATACTGGGACAAATTCCTGGGGAAAACAGGCACAACTCCATTGGCTGCAGTGGTATTACTCCAGGAGCACAGCTGGCCCAGTTGTATCACCGTAATCGACAACCGTGGCTGTGCCAGCGTTTCGGTATTGCTCCTCAGCACAGTCTTTCCAGGGAGGCCAAAACACTGGAATGATTCACAATTCCCTATATGGTCTATGCTTGAGGTTTCTGTGTAAATATCTCTGTTATTTCTGAGTGAAGTCTGATGCTTTCCAATAGACAGTTTCTTAAACTGGTCGGCCCTAGGCCTGGCAAAGTTTATAACAGGGTCTTTGGATACAAATGACTCTTGCTGTCTGTTGTGGTAACACCACCATAAACACAGACAATAGGTGCTGTAACAGCTCTATAAATACATCGCATCACAAACCCTGGTTAGATAACCAGGACAATATGGATAGCACTTAAAAATTTGTGGAGAGCGGAAAATAATCACCATGCAATCAACTTTGGCAGGAAACATACTCCCTTTTCAAATCCAAGTGCCCTTTAGGGCAGCTGCTGTACTATAGACAATCGGTGGGTGATATCTGCATGACAGTCAGGAAACCTTGTCAATTAAATTCACTTTTGAGGCTGATATTGAAAATTATTTTAATGGCACACTTTAGAGAAAGTCACAGGATGCTAGATCAGCAGATCTCTTTCATATGTTTCCAGCTGATCTATTCCTTCTTAGCCAGATTTCATGATTTCAGTGTATATTTTAAACCTCAGATAAACTGTGACAAGGTGACAAAAGCAAATATATCTAACCAGGTCCAGCTCATATAAACCTCTTCTAACTAGTGAATCTTTTTGGTGTGATTATTTTTTAGGCCTGATTTCTACCCTCCGTGCTATGAAGATAGCACTGATCCGGGAAAGCAGACTTTCCCAATATCACTCTCCCTTTCAGCAAGAGAGGAAGAGCTCTACAACATCCCTCCACCACTGTATACTGAAAGCAGCATGGAATTCATAGATGAAACCAGCCTTCAGGAGGAACAACCACCATCATATGAAATGTCTGTGCAGCAGCAGCAGCCAACAACCGAGCATGACTCAAATACAGAAGGAGTTTCAGGCACTTGTCATGCACCCATGCCAGGAGTCAGTTGCTAATAATACGAACTGTGAAAGGACTTTAGAGGGACCAAAGCACGTCAGTTATTCCGAGACAAAGTCAGTGATTAAGACACTGAATGTGCAAAGTGGTGTTGGAAAAGACATGGGACAGTGCTATATAATACTACTGTATTATACTAACGGGTGCAACAGTTGCCTGGGGACAGCATTGACCACAATCCATTCATGTGGCATTAGAGAGGTTGTTTGAGGAGGTTCCCAGTATTTTAAAACAAGAACAGCATTCTCTGGCCTTTAAAGAGTTTGCTAATGATATTAAGTATAACTCATAATTGTTGGCTCAAGCCAACATCAGAGCAGCCTGTTTTCACGTTTCAATATTTCACTATGCCCACTCAAAAAAGTCAGTACCAAATACATTCATTGTACTCTGTTCACTATCTCTAGATGATCTGTTTATGAAAGATTTTTTCATACCAAATATCCAACAAATTAATTTCCTTTTCATAGCCCGTATTTCATTTTCTGCTCACGTCAGCGCATCAAGATCTTGAGCGAAAACGCCCTTAAGATATAAATGACTGTACTGTACCTTGATACATTGGCTACCAATGTACAGAAGCCATTATTTTTTACACTGGAAGGAAAATGTTAGTGTTGCTGCTTAATGCTCCTCTATTTATTAATTTCAATCTCTTTCTCGCATCTCATCTTTTGGTGCAAGTCCCCATCTGTTTTTCCATTAATATTTCCTGATCTGGAAGACCTATTAATTCATTAGCTAATAGTTGGGGTTTTGTGTTCTGTTGTTTGTAACAGTTGAGTATTTTTCTAGCATGAGTGTTTGGAGATAACTGCTTTACTTTGTGTTAATAGCTGATACTTTAATATTGCATTGAATTCATCTGTTTATTTCAATAAATTTTTTCAAACCACATCTGAATTAGAAATGAGGTTTCTGTACTTCCAGGTGGATGTACAACACCCAATCTGAGCTCAGTCATTGCTGCACACTAATGAGGCAACCCCAGTTTCATAGCACAGCTCCTGAAAGAATAACACAGATTGTTTGCAGAAAAAAGCCTTCTGCGAGCCATTTCTTTAGGCATTGTCTTCATAGCTATAAGGTTAGCTGCTTCCATTGCACTGTTCACAAACTCAGTGCCAAAGAAGCAAGGCTCTATTTGGCCCTGATCCTGCACCACTGAGTTCAACTGGAGTTTTGCCCTTTATGACGACAACAGGACCAGGATGAGATGCTTTATCAATCTTTCTTTATGCTCACATATCAGAAGAGGCAAGAGTAGCCTGGATACAAATCATTGTAGAAACTTAAAACATGGGGGAAATCAACTGCAAAATAAATCAGTTCTTCCTCCTCAAGGATTATATTCTGATTTGAAATATACCTTTCCCTTGGTCGGAGAAGAAGGAAAATAGAGGATGCGACTGAGGGGAATGACAAAGAAATGGGAGGTGAGACATGTTTTCCTTCGCGGGTAGAGGTAGTAGGGAGGGGTAGACAGTGTGCCCAGAAAAAGGGGAGAGGGAAGAGGGGAACATAAGGTTAAAAATGGAAATAATTATACAGGAAATGACACATTAAAAGAGGTAGAGTGAAAGGACAGAAAAAAAGGAAAACAATGGAGAGAAAGAATAAACACATTCAAAAGAAAACAATAACAGGATAACAACAAGGAGTCTGGTGGCACCTTAAAGACTAACAGATTTATTGGGCATAAGCTTTCGTGAGTAAAAAACCTCACTTCTTCGGATGCTGCATCCGAAGAAGTGAGGGTTTTACTCACGAAAGCTTATGCCCAATA